CAAAACCGGGCTTCGCTGGAGCAGCGTTTCCCGAGCCGAAAGGCTCTTTTCTCGGGACTCCGGGATCCTCGGGGCTTCCTTCGGGTGCTAGGGGGTTTACCTAGGCTTTTAGGGGGGGTTAGGGAGCTTAGAGAGAGAGTTTAGAGAGAGAAAGAAGACGGGTGAGGGGTGAGGAAATGAGGGAACCCGACACCTCTATTTATAGGGGTGGAATCTGATGGACTCGCCGAGTAGGGGGGACCTACTCGCCGAGTTGGTCCATGTGGTGGCCTTCTGGTGGTGCCACGTGTCCAATTCTGGTGGTGCCACGTCACCCCCTATCGCGTATCAGCCCTCAAACTTAGAAAAATCATAACTTTCGCATACGAGCTCCGTTTTCGACGTTCTTTATATCCACGCGTAGGTAAAATCAAGATCTACAACTTTCGTTTAGACTCCGTCGGCTAATTCTTGACCGATCTCAAATTTAACAGTAGGAGGCGTTTAGACTGTTAAATGACCGCGAAGAGTTCATAACTCCTTCATACGGACTCCGTTTTCGTCTGTCTTTTTACCGTTGAGTTCCTATTAATGAGATATTCAACTCTCATTTAGGTCACATAAGCCAAAAACCGCTCGAACTAAAATTCGAGTTTCGGGTCGTGCACTGCTAAGCCGAATCTTAGAAAAATCATAACTTCTTCATACGAAGTCAGATTTGGGCGTTCTTTTTATCGATGTTCTTAGTTTAACATATTCTACGAATTTTGTTTAGATTGCTAAGGCTAAAAAGTCTTCTATCATAAATTCACTATTTACATCTTCCGGTGCCGTGCCGGTTTTGCCGTAAAACTTCGGCGGACCATATCTTCTTCGTTATAACTCGGATTTCGGTGTTCTTTATATGTACAAAAACCTTGTGACATATTCTACAACTTGGTTAAGACTATTTATTCTAAATAATCTTTTGTCGAAAAGTCATTTTTGACCCCTATTACCTCTAAATTGACTAGCCCGGATCTGCGGGCGTTACACCTTCCACACAAAATATTTGGGAGCTTTAAAAAAACGCTTCGTTTTGAACAAAAAGTTTCATTTTACACCATAATTATTTAGCATTTAGTTTAAACAAAATGTTCTAATTTCTAAAACCAAAAGCTACCTCACGTAGCGTTTAACAAAACACTACCGACAACCAAGGGAAAATGACTCTTGAGGGTAGTTAACTTTTGCGTTTGTACTCATTTGGTCCCTTTCATTTTTTTTTTTTTTTTTTTTTTTTTTGTATTCAATATACCATCGAACTTGTTGTTTGTGTTCATCATAACCCTTTTGACCGACTTTTGACCTGTGATAGCCGGTCAAAGGGTTATGGTGAACACAAACAACAAGTTCGATGGTATATTGAGTACAAAAAAAAAGTAAAGGGACCAAATGAGAACAAATGCAACAGTTGGTTACCCTCCTGATTCATTTTCCCTTTACTCATTTACAGCAAGTCTTACGTTATCTCGTACTGATATTAATGACTTTATGAGATTCATTCTTGCTTCTCTTCAAAACATAACCTACGAAAAGACATTATTCATACATGTACAACTTTGTAATGCACTTGAATATTTATTAGGGGAATCTTGACTAAGCAGACGCATTTCATGACTACATTTACATTTCCAATCAAATGATTTATGATATCATGGATTCTAAACAAGTCTACAAACGAGTGGAGTCACAAGTACTGTGATTTTTGAGTTTAATTAGTTTTAAGATCGAACTCATGGGATAAGATACAACATCAATATGTACAATATTATGGTGATGTGTCTACAAAAGTAGCATCAATATGTACAATATTATGCTTAGTCAAGATTCCCCTAATAAATATTCAAGTACATTACAAAGTTGTATATGCATGAATAATGTCCTTTCGTGAGTTATGTTTTGAAGAGAAGCAAGAATGAATCTCATAGTCATTAATATCACCAGGAGATGACGTGAGATTTGCTGTAAATGAGTAAAGGAAAAATAAATCAGGAGGGTAACCAACTTTTGCATTTGTTCTCATTTGGTCCCTTTACTTTTTTTTTTTTTGTACTCAATATACCATCGAACTTGTTGTTTGTGTTCGCCATAACCCTTTGACCGGCTATCACAGGTCAAAATCCGGTCAAAAGGGTTACGGTGAACACAAACAACAAGTTCGATGGTATATTGAATACAAAAAAAGGAAAGAGACCAAATGAGTACACACACAAAAGTTAATTACCCTTAAGAGTCATTTTCCCGACAACCAACTAATTTTGTCGAGCATACCTTAAAATTACAAAACGTGAAGAAACTAATTAAGAAATTACCACTATTTATGGTATTATAAATATGTACAAAAAGCAATCCTTCTTTCGTGAGATACTTTAAGTATACATTTAAATGCATGATGTACAAGTGCAAACTACAGGAAGTTTAAGTTTAATGCTTCAACTTTTTATTATTTGGCGTTTGCAACCTCTACTTTGTATAATATATCGATTGCAACTCTTTATTTTGTAGAATGATATTTTATCTCCCTTTACTTCTTAAAATATAATTTTCAGCCCCTCCATCTTCAACTTTGTAAATACCATTCCCCCCCCCCCCCCCCCCCCCCCCCCCCCCTTCACCTTAAACTTTTTAAAATGTCACTTTCACCCCTTTATTTTCAAATATTTTATGTTTATTTTCCATCAATTGGTAATGAAGAATGTTTAGGCATATCAACGCATAAAGTACAACTTTAATCCTTTAACTTTGTATAATCCGTTATTTACAACTCTTTTTATTTTGTAAAATGATTTTTTATTCCGTACTTTGGAAATATCACTTTCAACTACTTTAGTTTTAACTTTATAAAATATTATTTTCATCACTTTGTCAATATACATAATACAATTTTTTTTTGTGAGACAATCATACTATAGCTAAAAGTACAAATGTATCCCCTCCACCTTCAAGTTTGTATAAAAAATATCATTTTGACACACATTTTTTAAACTTTCGTGTTCGATTTTTCCTTCTATACTTTGTAAAATGTATTTTTCACCCTCACTTTTTTAGACACACCCCGAATACGCAACAACAACACATAAAAACCCGCCGCAAAGCGTGGGCCCAAATACTAGTTGTATATACGTTAATAAACTCTTTGAAAAATAAGAAAATAAAACGAAAACTGAATGTGTAAGGTTGCGTTTAGTTACGGAAAAACAGTTTTTATTTTCCATTTTTCATTTTCCCTTTTCAGTTTTCGTTTTTCGTTTCCAGTTTTCATTGGAAAATTTAGAAAACGCGTTTAGTTAAAACTTATTCATTTTTCATTTTCAATTTTAAAAACTTAGAAAACATGTGTATATTTCTATCGGTTTCATTTTTAGAAAACGATAGTAGTGGTAGTGTGGGGGGTGGCGGACAATGGTGTCAATGATGACGATAGTGGTGGTGGTAACGGCGGTAATTGTGGCAATGGTTGTGATGGTGGCGGCAATGGTGGTGATGATGGCGACAGTGGTAGTGATGCTGGTGATGGTAGGTTGGTTGTAACATTCGATTCCAGGTATGTTCTTGTTTGGTCCTTTAAGTTGATAATCTTTGCAAAAATGGTCCCTCGTACGTTGGGCGTACATTTGGTACGCTTAGCATATATGCATGGTTGTTGACGGGGAACATAACCACGTATGTTTGGCGTATGTGGTGTATGCGGGGAGTACATCAGCCAAGACCAAACTCTAATTTTTAGGACATGAACCCTATTTAAACATCATTATAGCCTTTGTACACTCACTTTCATCAGCCTCCACTATTCATTCGTCCATTTAAAATCCTAATTCACCCCTCATTTGAGTGTTCTTGAGCTTTGGAGTGATTTTGTGGCATTTTAGTGTGCGTTCAAGAAGGAGGGGCTTGGAGACCAATGTCACACCCCCAAACCGGAACGACGGAAACATTTTTGGGCGGATAACGTCATGTACAATATCATAACAATTGAATAATAGTAATTAAAGCAACACAACCATCATATTGAAAATATATAATTTACATTGTGTTTAAATCATTGTTTGTTTGAAACCAAAACTAAAGCAAAAACTAAGACGTGACGCTACTATGCTCTGTCTTCTTGAAACCTGTGTAAGTACCTGTCTACTAATTTCCTGAGAATACAAGTGGTTTGAAAAATATCAACATTTAAGTTGGTGAGTTCATAAGCATTTTGTATGAAAAAGTATGTTCTTTGTTCCTTGAAAACATTAATGTGTTCTTCCAGAAAATCAAATATTTTTTTTGTATAAGTGTTGTAGTCTTAGTACCTTAAGATCAAAATGTATAAGTTTCTTATGCTTAAAATTTGTAATACGAATGTCGAATTTATGTAATTGGTGTGACCCATATTGGTTCCTCCTATGATCACTTAGTGTATATGAGTTATATATAATCAAGATCGAACAGATAGTCGAATGATTGATTCTGCCCTAAACCCACAACCAAACACGGAATCAATCTAACGTATACTCTAAGTATAAATTTCTGAAAGAACCATTATTGTTAACTTAAAAAAGTTCGAAAAATAAGCTACCTTATCAGCTAGCTGTGATGTGCTAAACACAGTCGAAATGCAACCTAAATATTTCAAATTGAGCAGGAGATTTAGTGTATTTGATCATAATACGGTGTTATTTCAAGGAAAATCAATGCTTCATACTTGTGAAGACGAGAGACAAGATGGACACAACATGATAGTCGATCTCAGCTTGGATTGGGCCTCGTTTTGTGTTCAATTGGATTTGGGTTTTATGGTCGAGCCATTTGAGTCGACAGCGAGTTAATCAAGACCAAATTCCGCCAAATCATAAAGAATCAATTATTCCAATCTTGGTCAATATGGAAAAGTGAAAATTGTCAATTCTTCTGTATTTCACACACAAATTTTCATAACATCACATAAATATGGAAATCATAGAAATAGAAACCCAACACACATAGACTTATACAAACTAATACGCAAGATACACATGAAACTGAAGCAGCGTCTCCATTCCATCATTATTCTGCTGGTTTGTCCCCTGAAAAGTCTTCACCACCGCATGCCCTTTAGCATTCACATACTTCCCAGTGCCACCCATCACCGCCAGCTGGGACTCCGCCACCGCACTCCGGTGAACCCCCATAAAGCTCAAACTATCAATATAACTCCCGTGCATAAACATCACAGTAAACGCCATCGTCTGACTCTTCCCATCTATGGAACTCGATACATAATACCCTTGAGCCTTTCCGATCAAACCAGACCCAAGCTCGTGTCCTTCGGTCAACTCATCGTCAATCACAGTCAACGTTCCGAACATAAACTGTTGCAACGCGTTTCCTTGCGGGAGCTGTCCACCAATGGAAGCAAAAACATTGTTATTGTTGTTGTTGTTATTATTGTTATTGTTTTGGAAGACATTTGAAGTGGTTCCACCCAGGCCTGTAAGAAACGGGAGATTGTTGTTGTTGATGACTCCGCTGTTTCCATCGTCTTGTGAGACGCCATTGTTGACCGGGAGATTTGCTCCGTTGGGTTTAGCGAAGGGAACCTGACCATTCAAGGCGGGGTTAGTGACGGCTCCGGTGACTGCTTTAGCTGAGGGGTTTGACCCGCCGAGAATGTCGTGCATAAAGAAGGTGAGTGTGTGGTCGGAACCTTCAACCGGCACCACACCGGTAGTTCCGGTGGTGGTGGAAGCTGGGTTAGGTGGGATGGCGCCCAAGGGAGTGACATCGTCTGCATCTGGTGCAGCTACAGGGATCGCGATCTCTGGGTCTTCTGTTAGGGTTCGAGCTGCAGTGGTTAAAGAGAAGGTGGTGGTTAGGAGGAGAAGGGAGAGTAATGAAAGACAAGTGAAGGTAGACGTTGCCATGGTCAATTACAGAAGCTGATCAAGGTGTGTATGATTGACTTTGAAGTGGGTATTGAGGAATGAGATGATTTGAATATGTGAAGTTGATGTCTGTTTATATACAGAGGAGATTGAGGGTGTAAAGGTTTATGGTGTAGTTGATTACATGGTGATGGAGTGGGTGCCATTAGAGTTGGTGACCTGAACTTTGTGCGATTATAGAAAGTAAAACCACTCCGACCTTTTGCCACCTTCGACCTTAATCAATTATGAGTTAAATAAAAGTTATTGAACCCAAGATCTTCGATTTAGAATTTCAATTGACAAAAGCTTGTCTCGTTTCGAAGGTCAAATAAAAGCTATTGATAATCACTACCTAAAATGTATCAAATGATTATATTTACCTAATCTACACAAATAATTCAAAATTACTATAAAAACTCAAAGCATTGAAGAATTTGGGTCGAACAATTGGGCTAAATTGGCACGTCAATTTTAGTGTGTTGGAAATCCATGGGAAAGACTATGAATTTGTACAGATTCAAACAAAATCATAAATGATTGTTTGGTTAGATACATAAGTATGTCATAATTTGTGTACTGAATTATTAACCATATAACATTTGTTTTGAGTTTTAAGTTTTGAGTTTGCCCCATATTAAGCAACGGGGTTATCAGCTTGATGAAACCAAGTCGGTGACAATTACATGCCCATTTTTATCCTCACCGCAAGTGCTTGCAACCAATGCTTCCCAAGACCCCAAATCAGGGCACATTTGTCTTTTCACCATCTCCTCCATAACAAACAAACCATCTTCCATCTTCCCATTCTTAATCAACCCAACAACCAAACAACAAAATGTTTCCACACGCGCACAATGATTACTCATCATCATAGCGTTTAAAACCTTCAACCCCTCGTCAAATTCACCATTTCTACAAAAGCCATCAACTATCATTCTATATGTGGCTGCATTTGGCTTGAAACCATCAACCTGCATCTCAACCAAGATCTTGTAAGCTTCCCCAGCTTTACTTTCCTTACATAGGTAATTGATCAATATGTTGTACATTACAACATCTGGCTTGATTCGCCTTTTCTTCATTTCAAGAAGTAAAGAATTAGCTTCATTAAAGTTTCCCCTTTTAGCAAGATCGTTCATCAAGATTCCATAATTCACAAGCCGTGTTTTGCAGCCTTGGTATTCCATATCAAACATCATCTTTTTCGCTTCCTTGAACTTTTCTTGTGAACACAAACACTCCATTAACAAGGCATATGATATAGCATTTGGTTTTTTCCCTTTTCTAATCATTTCATCAAACAAAGTCTTAGCCTCGGAAAACTTGCCCCTTTTACTCCAAAATCCGATTTGACAATTGTATGTTACAACTGTAGGTTCGACCTCTCTCTCATGCATTTCATCGAACACCTTACGTGCTTCATCCCACTCGCCCTTTGCGAGCCACCCCTTGATCATGATATTAAATGTCACCGCATTTGGTCGAAATCCCATTTTGGAGCAAGACTTGAACATCTCATCCGCATCATTAAACCTTCCATTCTCGAGCAATGTATTGAGAATTGTATTTAACGACTGTAATGAACGGTAGCAATCAAACGACGGCATTTTCCGAAACAATTCGATAGCTTTGTCAGGCAAACCAGACTTTCCGTAATGCTGAATTAATCCGATGAACAAAGCTTCTTTACATTTAACGTTATAGTGCTGGAGTTGTTGAAGAAGGGTTTCGACTGCTTCGTAGTTTCTTCTACGTGCAAGTTTGTAAATGAGGGAAGAATAAGAAGGGTAGTCGTGCTTAAAACCGCCAGTTTCGCAGTAATCGTGGAAGAGAGCGAGAGCTTCATCTGGGCTTTGAATGTCTTTGAGGTCAGTGACAAAAGGTATCCGTTTTCGGAGGAGAGCCTTGGTAGGCTTGTGAGGTCTCTGTTTGTGATAATGGCGAATGAGAGTTCGATTAAAAAACATCTTCCGAAATACAATGATTACTCGTTTCGTTAATGGAACCCGGTGAAACAAATCAAGCGATCATAGAATATACGATGACCCGTAGAGAAGAAAATGTGCTGCTGTAATTATCAATAAGAAATCGACACCACAGTTCAAAAACGAATTTGCTTTAGCTTTACCGGTCTTTGTCAACGGGAACTTAATAAGGTTTTATTCCATATACCTTTTTATTTTAAAATTAAAAAACTTATGACCCAAAATATCTAATGTCATAAAAACACTTAAATTTAAAAATAAAAAAAAAAAAAAAAATCCACATACATGTTTTGTATAACTTGGGCATTTATTACATTAATCATGTGAACAAGTGAAGAGTTGGTAATGTGGACTTTACATACCGACTAGGCGTTTTATAAAACAATGTTTAACCCAGAGTTTGTATACATCATCTCGGGAACCGAACTTATCACTAGACCATCACCTTTTGCACGTAAACGTACCCACTGCTTTGCAACTCTCAGGAAATCAACAACAACCATCTCAAAATGATGGGTATTTGAGAAGATTAGGGCTCAAATTTGTGATAAAAGTGTTCAAGCAGGTGTAATTTTGGGTTATCGGAGAGTCAATTACATAGCGTGAGTTGTTATAGTTTATGATCAAATTGTGGTTAATCTTTTACTTTTTGAAATCGATATGTTAAGTGCATCTTTTTTTTTTTTTTTTTTCTTCAGGTTCTTGGGGTGGACACATTTATTTTGACAACTACATACATCATTAATCGTCTGCCTTCTAAGGTGATCACCAATAAAGCTCCTTATGAAATCATTTTTAAGCGATCTGATGAACAGTTTTAGGTGCTTATCTTATTACATACATATTGAAACTAAGGTGGCAAGTTTGAAATGAAACAGTTCTACTGAATGCCCCCTTCGAGAAACACATGCATAAGGAAATGATTGTAACCCAAAAATGGAGCAGTCTGAAAAGGAACAGAACACAACCACATCGTCTTCACGATTTTGTGGTACAACTCCCTCCCTCTGTAGATACTACACACGCTCCACCAAACCAAGACTCATTGATATTACATTCTTTAACCAATTATGTCTCTTATAAACAAAGTTTCAGATTCTCGCAAAACATTTTTAGCGATGATCGATTCCATCGATGAGCCAAAACATTTTCATCCGACAATAAAAGAGAAATATGGAAAGAAACAATAAAAAGAGAGATCCATGTTCTTGAAGAAAATGTCACTTGACACTTGAAGACTTGACAAAAGGCAAACATTCTAAATGGGTATACAAAGTGAAGTACAAACCAAATAGAGAAATTGAAGGATACAAGGTCCGTTTCGTTGCGAAAGATTTCACTCAGATAGAAGGGGTGGATTATCATGAAACCATTACTCTTGTTGCCAAATTGGTCACTATGCGAACCCTCTTTTTTGTAGCAGTTAAGAAAGATTGGACCATCCATTAGTTAGATGTGAACAATGCTTTTTTACTTGGAGACTTCACGAGAAAGTGTACATGAAATTTCGTTAAGGTTTTCCTAAATAAGGAGAGACAAAAGTTTGTAGATTAAGGAAATTGTTATATGGGTTGAAGCAAGCCTCATGGAATTGGTATAAAAAATTCACCAATGCTTACTTTGAGCTTAGTTATAGTAAGTTCAAATTCGATCACTCTCTTTTCATTCAACGTCAAGGAAAGAGTTTTATTACATCCATTATTCATGTCGATGATGTGATCATTGTGGAGAATGACAAACAGAAAATACAAGAAATGAAGAAGTATCTTGACAAAAGGTTTAGCATAAAGTATCTCAAAATTCTAAAGTATTTTCTTAGGATTGAACTTTCTCGTACCCAAGAAGGATTAATTCGAAGTCAAAGAAAATATACCATCTACATTCTTGAAGACTGTGGCTTACAAGGATGCACACCAAGTTCTTTTCCTGTTGAACAAAATCTCAAACTAGACAAAAGTGAAGGCAAACCAAAGGTGGATGCAAGCTGATATTATCTAATAGTGGGCATATTACTCTATTTGCCAACCACCAGAACAAACATTGCCTACACATAGAATGTCTTGAGCCAGTTCATTGTTGACTCGAGACAAACACATATGAACGTTGCATATAGAGTCTTACGATACCTTAAAGCCACTCCTTGACAAAGAGTTCCTTTCCTATGAGAATAAGGTTGTGCTCTTACAAACTATTACAAATCAGGTTGGGGTTGATGTTCATTCATAATAAAATCAAGAATCAGATATTTACTACTACTTGGAGGGGCTTCGATTTCCTGTAAAATGAAGAAACAACGAATCTTCTCTCTTTAGCCAACAGAGGCGGAATACAAGGCTATGACGTTTATTGTTAGTGAAGTCTTATGGGTTTGTTGAGTGTAACGCCCTAAAAATAACAAAGAGATTTTTCATTTTTAAAGTAAAATAACCAATTAAAGTGTATATCCAAAAAAATCAAGCTAAATTATCATTTTTAAAACCCAAACAAAAACCACAATTGTTTACAAAACATTGTTCTCAAAAGAAATAATCACAAATCAAAGTATCTCCAAAATCCAATAACATACAACTAGGAGGATGTGCACGATCATACATTTTCTTTCCCACGGTCATCTAAAATAGCTGAAACATAAAACTTAAACTATAAGTCAATGCTTAACAAGTTCGTAATGCCCAGTACCTGGTATGTATTTAATTCAAAATTTTATTAACTTTTATATAGAAACTCTATGAGTTGGAGGCCCCAAACTCGTCGAGTAGGGATGGAATTGCACGCGGGTTATAAAGTATACCCACTTACTCAGCGAGTTGAGAGCCTCAAATCGACGAGTAGGACTAGCAGAATGAAACCCTAATTTTCAGGGTTTTGCACCCTATTTAAACACCTTAAACTTCATAGTCTGGCCTCATTTACAGCCTCCAAGTCCCAAACCCTAAATCTCGAACCCCTTATGAATTGTGTGAGTTTGTGATCCATCCTTGAGAGAGTTTTGTGTGTTTGAAGCTTATGAAA